TAATAATAATGGGCAAAACAGCTACTTGCATTTGATATAGCGCTTTTCACGTCGGGAGGACGTCCCAAAGCGCTTCACAGAACACACTGTAAAGTGAATTGACTGTATATTTGTGGGCGAACGCGGCAGCCAATTGCGCACAGCAATGTCCCACAAACAGTCGTAGATTGAAAATGACCAATTTATTATTGTTTTTGGTTTTGGAGGGATTATTATTAGGCTCTGTGTGGAGTAAGGAAACTTGCCCAAGGTTTCGCCCTCTGCCTGGAATTGAACTCAGGTCTCTCACTTGCAAAGCGAGTGCTCTAACCACTGAGCTACAGGACTCCTCGTGGATCAATTATGCAGTGGGCATTTCCTTTAAGGTTTCTTTTTTTCAATTAGTTCATAAAACTGCATAAGCAACTGAACTGCATCCAAGAACGTCTTTTGGATGCAATACATGTGGCCAGTGTAACACCATTTTTTGATAAGGCCATTTCCAACAGTCACAAGGATTGTCACATGACCAAGAGTCACTCCTACCATTACATTAAATTCTCGATAAAAATTAAATCAAACACTAAAACAAACACGGATTATTCTGATGTTTTTGGTCTCCCAATGCCCTTGCTTGGATTCACCGTTCTCCTTGCCTGCTCCTGGTTCACATTTCTCCTCTTTGCCCTCTTTCACTTTCCCCTGGGTTGCTTGGCCTTCTTATGCTGCCCACGGTTCTTTCATTTGCTGCCAGATTGGAGGCCCCAATCACAGTACACAGCTGCCTTATTATGGTGCCAGGAGCCCCTCCCCCCCCACATCTGAACTTTAAAAACGTCAATTAAGAATGACCCGCTCTTATAAATAGCGCATCATACTCTTGCTCGTCTGATATGATCTTTAATCTGAGTGGATGCAACAAGTCACATGGCGTCACTGTGATGAGTCAAGAAATGCATTAATCTCAGACTTTGAGTGTTACGTGACTTAACTACAGACATGTTCTTGAACAGGAGAATTGACACTGAATGCGATGCCCAGCACTCACAGTATTTTCTATTGATCTTGTACATGAAGAAAGGGGTTTTGGCATGAGCAAGATTTAGGATTTTCTTTTGAGTTTTTCTTCCAATGCAAAGCTTACAATATTGCATTTGGTAGAAATATCCAAACGCTATCGCCATCTCAACTGGGAACAAGACACAAACCTCCATTCTTTGTGGGCAGACTCAGTTTAGACAGTTGCCTTTCCTCTCTCTGCATGTACTGATTGTGAATGTGGAGTGCAAAAAAAAGCAGTAAAATCTAGGATTCCAGCATGCTGTAAGACCGAGACCCAGTTCATATTTTGGAATTATTCAAATGGTAGTTTGTTCATTCTTGACAAGGGGCACAATGCACAAAACTATAAACAAACAATAGTTTTTCAACAAAGTACTTAAATATAAATCAAAACTAAAAGCAATAGCATTTGAAAACTAAACAGCGCATTGTTTTTAATCACAGTATTAATAAGCTGGTTACGAGAGAAAAAAAGATCTTCAGAATTCTGCACTAGCTTTCACTCAGTTTAAAAATTAATTAACCCATTCTATTCAAGCACATAGTTTCTTTTTCCACTGCTGAAGACATTGGTAGTGTTTTTCATGAAACAGAGAAAAGTTTCGCTGAGACAATGGTAGAAATAATATTTAGATTTTTATAATATGTTATATGTTTAGACTGCAGACACGGGGTAAACTTCCACGTTTGCGGATGACACACAAATCTACTTTGCCTCCTCTACTGCCAACTCCAGGTCCGCCAATGTTCTTTCAGTTGGTCTGGCAAACATCAAGGCCTGAATGAGTGTAAACTTCCTGGAGCTGAATATGAACAAGATGGAAGCCATACTCCTTGGCTCCCGTCAACGTCTTCACCCCTGCATATCTAAACTCCTCAACCTCCCTGGGCTCCCCCTCAGACTCACCGAACCAGTACGGATCCTAGGCATCCAGTTCGGCCCCCTGCTGTCCTTCCTCCCCCACATCCAGTCCCTGACCAGGACCGCCTTCTTCCACATACGCCACATAGCCCGCCTCCATCCGTACCTTACTCCAAATGCAACCGAAACCCTTGTGTGTACGTTTGTCATCTCACGCTTGGATATCTCCAACGCACTCCTCACCGGTCTCCCGAGCTCCACGATTCACAAGATTCAGCTCATTCAAAACTCAGCCGCCCTCATACTGACCCGGACCAAACTCCGTTTGAGATGATCCCACATCTCATCGGTTCTGGCCAGGCTCCCCATCACTGAATGGATTGACTTCAGGATCCTCACACTCGTGTTCAAATCGATTCACTTCCTGACACCTCCCTAACTCTCCGACCTCCTCACTACCCAATCCACCTCCCGGCACCTCCGCTCGACTGGCACCAGCCTCTTGCTCGTCCCTTGCACTCTCCACACCACCATCGGAGGTCGTGCTTTCAGCCACTAAGCCCCAAAACTCTGGAACTCTTGATCCCTCCATCTTGCCCCCTCTTTCAAGTCCCACCTAAGGACGTTCCTCTTCGACCGTGCTAACGGCCACCTCCCACCTCCTCGGAGTCAGGCTCTGCCACTGTTAAGTGCTCTGAGATGCTCCCCTGCGTGGAGGGGGCTATACAAGTGCAAGTTGTTCTTGTAAACTATTTAAAAAGTAAAAAGCACAAGCTTCTTATATTCGTCTGAGAGTTACTGAGCACAAATCTTCATTAACACATGGGGACATTACAAATAGTATGAGGCCCATTAAGTGCTTTGAGACGTCTAGAAGACATGAAAGTGCTATATCAAGTGCAAGGATTATCATTATTATTATTGGGAATTTGTAAAGGTACAATATCCTTAAAAAATTACTTCACCACAATAAGATGACTCATGTGACGACCCACCCATGCTGTGTACACAAGATACAACTTCCTAGCTCTCCCTAGTTAATTTGGACACAAATAATAGGTAAATTCTGTGCATTGCCTACATGGTCTCGGGATAAGATAGAGAGAAAAAGAAGGAGCCTGGTGTGTGATATTTTCAATGAGTAAGTCCTACAGTTAGGTAAGACACCTACTGAACTCGCCAGCACTTGTTGCTAAGAGACCCAGACTATAATGTTCCTCAAATGTGTGATGAGTACTCCAGATTGCAACTTGCTAAACCTCGCCTATACAAATCTTTTTAAGAACTGCCCAGTAGTCAGCAGTTACATTACATTACATGTGTGGAAGGTCCAAACTAATCCAAGAAGGGATTTGGCTGAAAGCGCGTTGTAATAAAGTATACTTTCAACTAACCATCTGGCTAGTTTCTATTTGGAAACAGAATTTACGGAATCTTCTACACATTACGCAAGTCCCTGCACTCATATCTAACAAATAATGTCTGGACTTCAGTGACGATTTTGTTCTGTCAACATAATAAACTAACGCACTAACATTGTGAAATGGCCATGCCAAAGTGAACTACATAGACAAATAGAAAGAACAATGACTTCTTGACTAATACGAAGAGGCAAAATTACTTCAACAATGCTACGTTGGGAAACCAAATAACTTGTGGTAAGCCAACTACCATTGTTTGCTATTCACAAGTTTTATCAAAAGCAAAGTTTTGAGTGGGGCTCAGAGAGAAAATAATACATTGGCTTCAAATCCTCTTTTCTGACAAGAAGTCTTTAGGTAAAATTCTATAGGACTACAATAACAACAACTTGGATTTATATAGCGCCCTCCACGCTGGATGGCGTCCCAGAGCGCTTTACAGTAACGGATCCCTACTTCCAGTGTCCTGCAAGGAATGCAAATAGATGATACAATAAATTATCTATAACCCAGAATAAATAATGCAGCAAGTTTTGAAATGCTATTTGAATGGATCAGAGGTTACATTGACTTTGATATTTATTTTGTGATTTCTGTTAGAGGAGGAAACTTGACTGATTCCAGTTTTGTAAGGTGACCGGGTGTTCAGTGGGGGTGGCTACAGATGTCTCCATATCAATAGTGAAGGATTGTGTGCATGTGGGGAATAATTCAGTCAATAACATTACAGGAATGTTTTCCCTTTCTTGTAGCTCAGTGGTTAGAGCACTCGCTTTGCAAGCGAGAGAACTGAGTTCAATTCCAGGCAGGGCGAAACCTTGGGCAAGTTTCCTTACTCCACACAGAGCCTAATAATAATCCCTCCAAAACAAAACAATAATAAATTGGTCATTTTCAATCTACGACTGTTTGTGGGACATTGCTGTGCGCAATTGGCTGCCGCGTTTGCCCACAAATATACAGTCAATTCACTTTACAGTGTGTTCTGTGAAGCGCTTTGGGACGTCCTCCCGACGTGAAAAGCGCTATATCAAATGCAAGGATTATTATTATTATTATCAATCACCGTAGATGTGAAAAAAAGACAGGATACAGTGAAATTTCCAGAACACATTTTGAAAAAAAGCACTGGGGCTGCTTTCTGCTCACAGTTACCTACAAACTCAAGTCTGCTGACTGCTCCTGATATACACAAACAAACCATTGCTGATCCAGACCCACTAGTGGTTACAGTTTCTGCAACTGGCTGTATTAATGTTTTTCAAGATGCCAAAGTATTACACTAATATTTGTACATATAATTTTGACACCAAGTCTAGGACTAAGGATGATAATTAAGCATATCAAAAAGCTTGTTCCTTTACAGATAACACATGGAATAGTCTAGGAACTGATTTTAATTCAAAGTACAGTCTGATTGAAAATAATTGAAAGATCCAAAACAAATTCAGCTGAGCTAACAAAATTTAAGAAGTACCCAAAGGCCAAGGATAGCATTAGGGGTCACATTATATATAAATGGATTGACTATTTAATAAAAATAACCTTCATAAAACCTTGGATTTGATATTGCACCTATAATGTTGAAACATCTCAAAGCTTTATTTTCTGGATACACTCTTTCTCAGTCCCCGAGACCACAACGTATGTATCATATTCGTTCTTTTTTCACTTACCAGCTGAAATTCTCTTCTTCTTTTGTACGCTTCCTTGATTCCCGAATCTTGCCACAGGGTTCTCAGCGCTGGCACGTACAACTGAAAGGTTGCAGGCTCAACGGGCATTCCACACTTGTTTTCAAATGCCATTACAAACATGCCATGCTTCTCATTTTCTGTATTTTCCCAGGGAATGCCCAGTTTGTTCCGAGCGTCCACCAGAACCTTCATACCCTGAAGGGGAAGAAAGGGAAAACATTCCTGTAATGTTATTGACTGAATTATTCCCCACATGCACACAATCCTTCACTATTGAGGTGGGATGGAGACATCTGTAGCCACCCCCACCTGGTCACCTTACAAAACTGGAATCAGTCAAGTTTCCTCCTCTAACAGAAATCACAAAATAAACATCAAAGTCAATGTAACCTCTGATCCATTAAAATAGCATTTCAATATTTAGTAAACAAGCTAACATCCCAACTATATGTACTTTGTTCCACTAATTAATACAGAACTGCCAGCAGAATTAGACTTTTTTTTAACAAATCAGCAACTAAGACATTCCAGCTCGGTTTAATTTTTTTTCTTTCATAAAGGGGTCACCTCAGTCCAATGTCTCTGGATTGAACAAGTGAGGCACAAAAAATGGCAGACTTCCAGGTCACTGCTGAACGCACGCTTTGCCTGCACGCAACGAGCAAGAACTTCTGCTGACAAAAGTGATGTCAGGTGCATTTCCTGGGCATAGGGTTCATGCGCAAAAAGTGACATCAGTGGCATCTCCTGAGCATAGAATGCAGTAAATGACATCAATGACAACCTGATGGTGTGAAAGTTGACTAATCTGTAAGCACGGGAAACCGACTAGTCAACGCTACAAGCCAGGTACACTGCGCTCCTACTTAGTGCGGGTTCAAAGGGAGACTTGTACTATAAGACAGGCAGAGCTATATCAAGCAAAGGTATAGTATAAAAGAGTTCCCCTTATGTAATATTTAGTTTACTACGTGCAGATGATTTCTATTGTGTATCCGCCCCTTCCCAGGAGGATAGTTGTCAGTAGAAAAGAGCAATAAATAAGAAATTAGAATGATGCAGAACTTGGAACGCAAAAAACTAGCACTTCTTGCCCAGGAATTTTCACCCCAGTACTAAGTTCCACAACTAACTGGGTAAGGAACACAGATTCCAAATGTACAAAATGACAATAGTAGGAGGTCAATGGTTACTACCACAGTGGCTGAATGCAGTAGTGACCCTCCCTTCTTTCTCCCTTGTGAAACAGTGAAGGGTACACTGTTCCAGGTTCGGTTACTTCTTACATGCATTGCCACCAACAGATGAACACACAACTGAAAATGAATGAGTCAATTCAATTCCTATAACAGAACCTTACTTCATTATGTACCGACTGGCTGACTATTTCATGCTTAGGATAGCGTAGGTTGCATAGTAGTACTGTAATACATTGAAGAATTTCATGAACTAAATGAACTAATGAACTAAAACTCCAAGAGCAAAGCTCAAGCAATTTAATGACAGTGAGTCATATGAAAGCATGTACTAAACCAGAACCTGAACTACAGGACAGTTTACTTTCCGTCAGAGACTCAGGTGTTTATGGGAAATTCTTTCTGCGTGGCACTGACTCAGACGCAAGAAAAAGCAGTAATTTAACATTGTAAAACGAGGTTAGCAGCTCAGTTGGCATTAAGGGAGATTTACTGAGAATGACACAATGGTCTCTGAAGTGTTCAGGCTGGTTAGTTTTTGGGTCATTTAAAAAAAAAATCAGGTGATATTACAGAACAAAGTCACAAAAGGCATTTTTATATATCTATTCACCAAGTTTTAATGCATTATATTTATGCGACAACGACTGCAGAATATGTCTGATAAAGAAACAGATGAAGAGTTAGAATTTTTTTTAAAAAAACAGTACCTGCCATAAAGGCAGTGGTGAAGCACTGTACATCTACACTGAAACATCAAGTACATGTAATTGATAAATGATGTGAAAACAGTTTCACACCAACTACAGAATGCCTCAATAGCATTGTATTTATCTTGCTTCTCTCTACAAACACAATGTCTTAAGTTTTAAACCAACAAGCAATTGACACTGTACAATTTGAATGTTTCTATTATAATTTTAGCACCAACTACTGTACTTTTGGTCAATTGTATATTTGCTTCTACTTAGTCCAGCACTTTAACCTCAGCCTCAGAAACTATTCAAACTTTACTGCAAATATGATATTTCCATTTCATACCATCAGCAGTCCCAATTGACAAAGTTTATGATCATAGTTTGTACAGTAGATTCCTGTCCACTATCAACAGCATTCATGCAGCATTCCCCCATCACTGCATTGTGTCAGGACTTGAGTTTCAAGTCACAATGTATGGTTTGCCCCATAACCTTAGAACACTTAAGCTCACTTCATTAATTTATCTTGGAAAAAGAGACACGAGATATATTCAAGCCTCGGTGAAAAAAGACAAAGCAGCAAAAACAAAAGGAAAGAAAGATGCCAGTCCAGTCATCATCAGCATAGTTTTTATCTATAATGAGATTCCTAAAAAAAATCACAAATGCTTTATTTTACTTGAAAGGAAGTTCAGTTTCCTGTTTGGCACGACCATACCATCGCATATCAACTCTCGGGTTGGCAGCATTCAATTCCATTTAATGATCAGAAGCACTGTAGTTAGTCCATTCCAAGCAAATGCAGACAATATGCTCCTGTGTCACAACACTCTTAGGGGGTGAACAAATTGGTCAACAGATTAATAAATAAAACATAAGGATGGAGCAAAAAATAGTTAAAAAAAACTTTTTAAAAAGTTAGCTCAAACCGGATTATGGCTTTTTGTAAAAGGAAGTCTCTTTTCAACTTCTCTCTAAGCTAGGTAACACCTGTGAGAGACATAGTTAACTGACTCCAAAGCTTCACCTGTCCTGTTTTGATGTGAATTCTTCTTAATACTTGACTCACCACTGTTGAGCAAAGTGGCTCAATGGTCATATTGGAAAAAAAATCATACTTATTCCTATGCCATTGTTCTGACACAAGTTAATATTCCTGTGCATTTGTGCCACCCAAGACAGCTGCTACATCATTTTCAACAACAATCCTTTCTCCACTCATCCTTTCTCCTCTTCCATTTTGTACACAAGAGGTATTCATCGATTTTACAAAGTTCCTGCAAATAGGTAGGAGATCTGGATCACAACTAGACGCATCTTCAAGCAGCCAGTATTTAACTTTAGTTGGGCCTCTTTCATATAAAGGGAGAGGAGATTAGGTACATTTGCTAGACTGCAGCACAGCGAACAGAATGCCAATGCCAAGGCACCGTGCCAAGGATGGGAAAGGATGCCAGCAGACTCTTTAAAAATCTGTGTTGGAGTCTCATGGGAAGGAAGCAGGAAACCAAAATGGGGGAGGGAAAGTCAACTCAATGTAACACTTTGTTTACTTTGCTGAATTGTGTGATGAATGCTGATGAAAAAGGAACTTGCTTGGAAGCAAAAGTGATTGAGCACAATTGTGTAAGAGCTGCAGCATATACAGAGCTGAGCTTGGATCACTCATAAGGTGATGACTATCTGGATTGATGTCAATTCTAATATTTCCATAGTTGGTGGATTGCTTTTCTGGAGGTAATAATTCCTTCAAAAAATAACAATAAATTGGTCACTTCAATCTACGACTGTTTGTGGGATACTGCTGTGCGCAATTGGCTGCTGTGTTTCACCCACAAAATATACAGTCAATTCACTTTACAGTATATTCTGTGAAGCGCTTTGAGACATCTCGAAGACACGATAAAGCGCTATATCAAATGCAAGGATTATTATTAAAATGTGACATTCAGGAATTCCAAGCTGATCAATTATACACTGAGTTTAAAATGTTCATCAAAAACAGGGATCCAGCTTTGTCCAATATGTTTGCACACATATAAACACAATCCCAATATTCAAAATATCCTGGGTCGAAGTAGCTAAAACACGATAGGATTATTAATTCGTTATACAGTCAAAGAGTCGATCTGAAAACCTACCAAGTGGTTTGTGGGTAAAAGTTCCCAGCAAACTGTATTGCATTCACAGTAAATTTTTCCACTTTTAAGGAAAAGATTTGATCACAAAGATTCAAACAAAATAAGGCTATACCAAATCAACAACCAAATTCTATTGGAAACAACTAAAGGGAAAATTCTGGCTTTAATATATACTAGCGATCCAACTAAGAAGATTAGGCCTCCGCTTTCTCTAACTCCTTGTAAGACATTTTGCCTTCCAGCCCTTGTCCTTTGAGTAACTTTCCATGTGCCCCACCCAATTTCAAGACGTAACCACAGCACACATACTATTCAGAACACATAAGACGCACCACACACCGCAATTTTTGAAATACAGTAACCAGCACTGCGCCTGATCATGCTTTATTGTACAGCAGGATCCAGTTAACCTTTAAAGTGCCACATTTGCAGCCTTAACAGAATCCTTGCCTGTGGTTTACTCAGCAAAATAGGGCGTGCACTCTCATTTTTTTTGTGGTTTACAATATATCAAAGTACCAGACTAAATTTTAGAAGCCTTTTATTCAAACTTCATAGATTTCAAAATATGCTGCAGTTACTACCCTGCAACAAAATGAAGTGTGTATTGTGTGTGTGTGTGTGTGTCTTGAAAAAGTTTTTTTTGGAGGGTTTGAAGTATCACCATACTTCAAAGGTTAATTCCTGCAAATGTATGATGCTTTGCTGTGTGCAATTGGCTGCTGCGTTTCAACCACATGTCAATTCATTTTACAGTATATTCTGTGGAGCGCTTTGAGACGCCTCGAAAACGTGAGAAGGCACTATATCAAATTCAAGGATTACGTATACCTATAATAAAGATGAAGTGTCTATCTGTGTGTCAGTGTATCTGACAATCACGCAATAACCAATTGATGAAGGGACATGATTTATACCTCATCGGAAAGATTTTGCATCTGGCAGTGTCATGGGCATTTTTTTTTGGGGGGGGGGGGGGGGGAGAGATCTCCTATCGTTGATGAACTTTATTAAAAAATGCTTTTAATAATCCCTAAAATATGAGGTATGCATCGTAATCTGCAACTACGAGGCAACATAGGAGAGCATACGCCTTTCAGAGAGATGCATCTGTATTCTGCAACCAATGTATAGCACTGTTTTCTGGTTGTCATGGGAGC